CATTTCGCAGTGGGCACGTGGTGGGATGCGGATGTCTCACGATGTAGCAGTCGACAAATACGACATGCTACGACCCGAAAGAAGTCTTCGGTCCGGAGAAGCCACCCTCAGCACTTAGGAGTCCTTCGAACATTTCCACACGACGGAAAACGCCGTGAGTGAAAAAGAATCACAGCAATGAATGGCATCTTTTCATTGTAGGATTGCTCAAGCTGTTCCAAGTACAGGGCTCCGTCTTCAGCCTCGGCCACTTATGACGCCCAAGCATTCTCCTCCAATCGGCCTATAGGACCTCTTCTTCACCCCACCAACCACCCAGTACCACCGATGTCCCACCAGGTCCCTTCGGCTGAGAAGCTGCTGTCCAAGTAATTGGCAAAGCTCTCGCGGTCCATGGCGGACGAGACTTCGCTTTCGTTGGTGAACAGTCAAGATGCACTGGCACAAAAACGGAGTCCGAATGGAAAGAGGCGAGCCAGCAACCTCATTGATGGAGTGGATTTAGTTTTCCATCTATACTTAGGGGAACACGACAAATACACAAATACATAAGATCTTGTGTGCCATTCTGTGAAGGCTTGTCTTCAACCTTTTCCGACGACAAAAGAAGGAAATCACTGACAGCCCATAATATATAGTTGTCGCAAAAGGGCACAGGGCACAGAATCCACGCCTACACATGTACGTACTTCAGATATCTTGGGATCATGTGACATGTCTGTTGACATCTTCGGAACACAAAGGCCCGAGGCTACCAGAAAAGGCATGGCCCAACTCTGCCTGACAGAATCGCTCTGCGGCCTGAGTTGTTGCTACTTGGTCGGTCTTTTGTTCAACGGTTTGTCCAAGCCAAATAGCTGAGAGAAACCAACATTGACCTTTTCTGACAAAGAACCTCATGAAACAAAAAAGCGGCAATGCATAATCCACGGCAATGAGTGTGATCCCATCTGGCAGGGGGTTCGGCTCGTGACCTGCAAATTGGTGGCCCTCGCGATCTCAAAAGCTTCCGGCCTGGAGAAGCCCTCAGGACAGCGGACAACACACTTCACTTCACCATGGCGGCCACTTCGCGACCCCGAGGCATGTCAGGAACCAGCTGAAAAGGCAACATGACAGGAACCAGCTGCACCCCGCTGTTGCATCAAGTCTCTATAATATAATATAGCACTAGAGATCAGAAGGGTATAGCTGCAACTTCACGAATGATTCTACAGCAAGTCTTCGAGCAAGTCTGGAAGAGAAGCATTCCGGTCTCAAATGAACACCGTGCGTGTCTAAGTGTGAATTTGTTCACAATGCAGGATCCTGGACCAGCAGAAGCAATCCGAAGGATGCAAACATCGACCAGCACCTTGCGCACCTCTTTGACACCTCTTTGGCTGGTTAAAGCTCGAGCAGTCAGGGCCCCCCCAGTCAAAGGAGCAATTTAGATAGCAATCAGCAGCAATCATGTATATATAGAAGGAACATTTATGAAAATTGTATCCCAATCAGGTAATGACTTTGCTTGCCTCATTCTAGGTCTAGAGCACAGAACAGAAACGGTACCCTGACTATCGGGAACATTAACAAGACCTCGTGAAAGCACAGCTGCTGCATAATTTTATGCAGCACAACGCTCACTGTATCACACGCCATTGCATGCCTGCCCAGGAACGTCGCGTGCAAGATGAGGCCACAATGATCTCTTGATCAGACCAGCAGCTGTTTCGCTTGCTCATCTCGAGCAATCAAACCATCTGTTTGGCTTTGCGGGAGGTTGATGACCTTTGCTCGAAAGCAAAACATGTACAGTATATAACTGCAGTAAGCTCACAAACAAAACCCCTGCAACTGCAAGGAGGATGAGAGTTCTAGCCGTGTGAAGCCCCTTGTATAATTGTCATTCTTTCATATTCTAGCTATTCGCCTATGGAGCTCTCAGATTGATATAAAAATAGACCAATATCAACTCAGCATGATACTCAATCAAACATACGCGGACCCACAGCTGGCATTTCAATTGCAACTCGTTATTTCCTTCGCACAACTTGGTCAACGCACGACATCATGGTGCCTATCTGCATCACCAGCATGGCGATACAACCCATCAGAAGAATCACCTGGAAACGCTTTCAGCGCTGGTCGGTGGACAGCCGACGACGCAGCTTCCGACGACGCGGCTTCTCATCGATGAGCAGCGGAGCCAGGAGGTGCAGTCGGGACACAAAGAGTAATACATATTTCAGGAGGAGATTCACCCCATTCGGGTCAATTAACATCGCCTGATTATGTGGCTAGACCAGTCCAAAGCTCTATGCTCTATTCCAGAAAAATCACACCTCCCCGATGTTCAACAAACATGGCATAGCACTCCCCTGGCATCCGTGGCATGTTGGCAGTCTCCTGGCACCGGTGTGTGGCGCAAACCGCGCACCTGGGCCACACAAACCATCACCAGGATCGCCACAAAGGCCTGGGAAGGCCAGGCAAGGCGGCAAGGCCCATTTCGGGCATCGAAGCTGAGCAGCTTCGAGACTTCGTTGGAAGTCCTTTGGCAGGAAATGGTGGCTGTCCTTTCTGTAGTTGACACTGTGGCGTTGGAAGTTGGTAGATCCCCCACAGGTTTGATTCAAAAACGCACCCTGAGTTGTTTTAGCTCTAGTCGTTTTACACTGCTACAGTATATGTAGTATTATGTAGTTATGTATATATGTATGTGTATCCATACACATCCTTTGTCGGTGAAGTTCCAGAGCAATCTTCTGTGTCAGCCATCGGTTGACTTCCACAGCCACTTAGCACTCAACCCTGGAGCACCGTGTTGCAAGCACTCCTCAACAAAACCAACCAAACCAACATTGGCTTGGAGCCCAACCTATAATATAAGTCCAATTGCATCCTCAGAAGCGAGTTGGACCTACTCAATATATCCCAAAACTTGTTCTTAAATGATATGTGATACGTGGCTTTACCATGTTGATCTCTGGAAAATGCTGGTGTGGGGCAAGCAGTTTCCAACAGTTCAAAGCGGCAAATGTATTGGCCTTGCAGCCGGCAGGCGTAACGACAGCAGGTCACCAGCACATCTTTCCAAGTGTGATGATCCGTTGGCGGCCTTAGAAATGTGGCGGCGGCATTTGGATGAAGAATGAGCCCTGGACCAGCTGCAAGTCTCCTCCCCTATGCCTATAACTATTGAAAGCACTACAACAACACTAACAACACTGCAATAACAAAAAACAGCTACCAGTATGACCCACTTAGGGGGGCTTGGAAGGGAACACGTGTCACGTTTAAAGCTTCGAACATGGAGTGACATGCTGCTCAGGTGGTGAGAGGAAGTTCGCCTGTGGTGACTGCGGACACCAAAGCCAAGCATTGAAGCCGAACAGCCCAGTCCAGGAAATTCACATCCTTCACTTCAGTGCTTCCCAAACCAAATCTCTTTGAATCCTGCGGAACTCTGCTGCTGGCTTCTTTTCTTTCGCACGCCGCTGGGAAGAGTGCGATGCACAACGTGCAGGGATCGCATGGCCCGAGTTCGCATTGCCCGAGTTCTCCAACGGTGCAGTTCCAGCAGGTAGTGTAGTTCTGGAAGAAAGGTGCCCGAATATGTAGTAAGTAGGGAACGGACCCCCGTTCCAACTATAATATATGGACTATTGATTGATGCACCTCAAAGAATTGGGGTGTGATATGGTGCGATTCAGTCTATAATGGAAAATGGGCAGGGAAAAGGAACGTTCAAACAACCAGGCGCTAGTGACATTGGCTGTCAATATCTCCATCTACTCAGGGATAAACAAAGAACTTAGCAACTGAGTTCACATGTTGTTGAACAAAAACCAGCAAGCTTCCCTGTCAGATCATATCTTGTGGGAATGAGCTACCTTTTGAAACTTGAAGCAATAATCCGTTGAGTTGCCACCTTAGGACTTGGTTGCTTAATCTACCTCTTATGTATATAATATATCTAGATTAATATATCACATCCTGATATAACAATCTGGAACAAATGAGAGCATGAGAAGCAAGGCTTCTGTCTTGCGAGTACCTCATCTAAGCCTGCACCGATGGACTGCGGGTCCGCACCAATACCAGCTGATTGCATGCCTGAACATGCCTGCAGAAAGCTAGGAAGGGCGAGCCTGCCAAGTTGCTGTTCTAAATCCAAGGTGCATGAATCTGCTTGCCTCACCCGATGCATCTTGTCTCTTGCTCTGTGAGCACATGCTGGTCATTTCTTCAGGGGGTATTGTAAGCACTTCTCTGCTTCCACCCGGATGTTGTTGGTTTGTCCATACCCGTCGGCTAGAAGGAAAAGCATTGTGCAATCCTTGTGGTGCCAAGCATTGCCGTCAATCGGGCCTCCGATCTTCCCATGCCTCCATCCTATCTTTCCCCTAAGATTGACACCTGGAACCGTCTGAAATGCAGGATCGGAATCGCACCACTCCCCCTTTCCAACCTGTTTCTTTCGACATCTCTTCATCACCAGCAAAGTCCTCACAGGGATCCCTCAGCCCTCTACTCCGGAAGGGTTTCAGAATAATTCGCACAAAGATCTCGTGTATAGGAAAAGCAGAAACTGAACAAGGACCAAACAGGTTAAACCGCAACACGAAGGGAATCAGTAGCAAAGTTGCGAAGGAGTTTTGTTGCCTATTTGTCATTGCAGAATTGCCACCACCTGCAAACCTTTTCTGGTCCTACGTCAAAACGCATGACATGGTCCTTCAGAAAGACTTGGAACGTTTTGATACCGAAATTGCCATCGCAAACCATGGGGTGGTGCTGATGCCTTTTTTTTGAGTTTGGCAGGCCTTTTTTGCCTAGAAATTTGCAGGCATTCAATACAGCAATGACGTTTGTAAACTTTGGTGCTCCGTTATTGATTCTGCAACAACTGCCTCATGGTCCATGGTAGCCAAACAACGCTCCAAATTTGGATACATGTCGCAAAATCCCGACCAGAAGAAACAAAAACCCAGTCTGCCCTCAATGCAGTTCTTGTTGCTTAGCCAAAGCTAGTTCCGACCTAGGACCCAAACCGGACCCATTTCAGGCCTTGGGATCCCAACCCGCGAGAACACCTGCTCGCAGGAGGCATCACCCGCTGGTTCCGCGTCCATGATCCTCGCCAATTCGGCATGGCTCAAACATGGATGTTTTGAGTCTTCTTCCAGGCGTCCCCGTCGATCCGTTTCATCATGGCCTTCAGCTGCTTCATGGGACCACACCTGAACATGTAGACGATTCGCGATGAAGCAAGGGAGTTGAAACAATTTGATGCATCTGAGCATGGTGTGCTTCTAGATCGGAAGTAGGATAGAGTCGGATAGAGTAGGTGCGATATCTTGAATGCTATACCTGGAGTCAGGATCCAGAAGCACCTATTAGAGTGTCCAATGGATGTACGAAGAACAAGGTGTGTATCTTCTGGGCAGCATGCTGCGCCAAAAGTCCTGTGTCCAGTCAAAATCCTTGCCACAAGAAGTGCACCTTTTGCTATATGCTCAGCTCCGCGTATTCCAAAGCTGGTGTCGACTCTGGGAGCCTTTTTGTGTCCGGAGGCCGCAGCTGAGCCAGGGAACTGCCCCAATTTGCTGACGTTGCCTTTCCTATAGTAGGCATCTCTGCACACGCGCAAAAATGAATCTTGGAGATTGGCCTAGTCCGACTTAACGTGATCTGACTTTGACGGAACTCGGCTCCCCTACCGGAATCGATGGCACACACCCATTGACCAAATCACTGTGGTTCAACTTTGAGATTTGGGAGTTCGGCAATGTTTGACATATTTGGGCCATAAAATGTGATAACCTCCGAGTTTACCAATTTTCACCACATGTCCATTATTTCTGTCTGTGTTTTTTCAGTTTTTTCGTCAATCCCTTTCAAACCCTTTGGCCATACTTCATGCGGAACAAGAGCGAAAACGACCGAACCGGTGTCGAAGAAGCCGCCAAGCGGCTCATAGAACTCGCTGATGCCTCAGTTGCCGATATTGGCATTCACAAGGCCAGTTTCCTCCAAAATAGTTATTTATTATAGTGGCTTCTTGCTATTGCTAGCAACGATGCACCTGTTATACACTAATAATTAGCGATGCCCTTGTTACTGGTAGATTCTTCCTACTATAGTTACTAGTTTCTAGTTCACAGAGTCTTAGACCTGCAATTCCAAGAAATCCTGAAAACAGGGTCCGCCTACTGTAAATCTGTTCAATGTAGTTGAGCAGTGCTGCAGTGCTATTGTTTTTTGGAGAAGGTCGCCCAATCAAACCCTGATTGCCAGAATCGATATGAATAGATACTACGACAACAGCAGCAACAACAAAAACAAACAACAACTGCGACTACTACCACTACGACTACACTGCACTTGGGAGATCTGCAGTGTGTGCTTATACATGTATCTGCATCGTTCAAAAGATCACACAGACCGAAAGCGGCTGCTCTAAGGACCAAAAGCGACGATCGTGTCCGATGGCCGTTTGGAACACGACAAGGCTGGTGTTCACCCACTTGAAAGTGTCCCTTCAGCCAGGCGGACCGTGACACCAAGGCGCCATCGTTCACCATGGCCTTCATCGCTGGCTCCCATAGAACGCAATTGGTGAGCTGATCCGCTAAGAGCTCAATGATCCGTGGCACCGAGGTGCCTGGAGAAAAAAAACCGGCCAAAACCAAACACCCTGACCCTAGGGATCCAAGTACCTTGTCAGAAGGTGATTGGAGACTGTTTATGTAGGTTTGGAGGGTCCAAGTACCTTCTGAGGACGTACGACTGGATCCCTAGGGTGAGGGAATGTTCGAAGGGCCCGGTAGGGCCCGGTAGGGCCGATGTCTGCGCTCTCGCCCAGAGCCCAAGGGTCTCCCCTCTGGCGGTCTGATGGTCCCTGGTGAAACCAACATCCGACTGACCCACTGGTGCTGCCGACCCACTGGTGCTCGGCCCAAGTCCGTTGATGTGAAGCCAGCCTTTCCACAGCCCTTGAGATGAAGCCTTTTGCAGGGTTGGAAGTCTCACCCTTTTGAGTTTGAGGAGCTAGTGGGCGTCGGCTTGCCTCACGCACACTCATGAGTATAAGTAAACGCCGGCCTCTAAATTTTACCAAACTTCTTCCTGCAATACTATATAGAACATGACTGCCTGGCTACGAAGAAATACAATACAGTCTTTGGGGTTTCCTCCTCATTGACGACTTCAGTCGTCGGACTGGGATTTCTCCACATTCCTGGACCCGGATGGACCGGTGAATCTTGCTAGGACCTGAGTGCCCCATGAGAAGAATGGTCGGATCGATCCACCAACGAACATCATGGTCGGTCCGCCCCGAGTTCTCGCGACCTCCGCCCGGGTCCGGGGTCAAAGCTGGTTCCGGGCCTGGCGGAATCTTCTGCCCGGTGAGGTTGACCTTGGAAGGATGAGCATCGATCCCAAAGAGCCACAGGGTGCAAAAAGGTATGAGGAGATGAGCATAGATGGTGTATGGGCTTGAACTCAACACATGCTTTAGGGTCTTTAGAGTCTAGAGGAAAATCAACATCATTGACACCGAGCAATTCAAGTGCTTTGCTTTCTGGAAAGCCCTGGGGAAGAGTAAATGTGCTTAGGCTTAGGCCTCTGAAGGGACCAGGATACCCTGTAGGCACTCCACAGGAGAGTAACTCAAATCGTGGCTGAGACGTGTTTCCCCTAACAAAGATCAGCCCACCTGGGATGATGTCCTGAGGTCCGGGGGGAGAGTCTGGCGCACCCTTCGAGCGAGTCTTTGCACCTACGTGGAGATTGGTCAGCCCCCAATAGCTATGTCGCTATGCAAAGTCAGATTTGAACAGTCTCTACACTGATTTGATTCACTACCACTATCCACCATCAACGATCCTCTACAACAGGGAAGCCTTCAAGCTAAGCATGTCTGGGCCAGCCCGCGTAAACCTCGCAGTTGGGAGGTTTCATCTTGGACTCGGCATCCTCAGGTGCCAGGTTCCCTGCACCCAATAACCCGAACGTCATCCCATGTCGCTCCGTGCGAACCGGCCCTTTGAGCCACGATCTGTGCGGAGGTTTGTGCGTTTGGTCATTTGGTCTGTCAATCTTGGCACTTGCTTATGCCTAACCGGAAGGAAATGGCGAGAATGCAAGACTGAACTGGATCACACTGGGTCCTGTGAAATCCAGTGACTGCGGGTGACCCAAGTGTGGAGATAGCACAAAGTGACCGGTGCAATGGCACTGTTCGAAGTCATTGCTTCACATGGACATGAAGCCCTGGGCCGACCACGAGTTAACCTACTAGCGATGGCCTCCCACCTACTACCGATGGCCTCCGACCTAGTAGCGATTTTATGTCCTGCTGAAGCTCAAGGCATTCCAAGTTAAGAGAACCCTTGGGGGCCGAGTGGACCTGTCAGGGTCGTGTCATTGCACCGCCCTGACAGGGTGTCACACGCACAAATACGCACACGCCCAGTCAAGTGCAAGTGCATGTATCACTGGTGGTTTTGCTGAGAACTCACTTCATTGGCTTACGTCCATGCACTCTGGCAAACTGGATCGGGATTTTTTTCACACCGGTCAAGCCTACAGGAAGTCATGAGTCATTTCGTGTTGGCGCATCGGAGAAGTACATTAATTGATCTTCGGAAGCCCCTGGTGACCATTTGACTTTCCGATGGTCCGGAGTGATGAAGTTTTCAGACCCTCAGGTCAATCTTAGCAACGGCCAGGCCTCAAACCAGCTCTCAAAGACCTCAAGATCAACTTGGAGGGATGAATGCGCGAGCTCCCAATCCCAAAGAAACCCATCTCGGAATCCGGTCCTTCAGTGCAGTGAGCAGTTTACTTCTGGCAGGTGCCATGCACTTGGTATGGAAAGCGCCCGAGGTCCTTGGATCAGTGAGCTATGTCGCTGGAATGTGTACCCGGGGATGTGTCCTTGTACCGTTGCACAAGTCAGGTGAGATCTGATATCAATTCACATCACATTCACGCTCCATGGACTCCATGGTGTTTAGGCTTGAAAGATCAGGAGTTGAGGAAATGCATCAAAAGGCAAAGCCCGTTGACACAGCCTTGCTGACAGGTATAATCATAGAATAATCCAGAGTTTAGCAACTAATTTCACCCATGGGGTCAAAAAATAAGTTTGCATGTTCAAACACGGAAATCATTCATGCAGCTCTGTGACCAACAGCCAAGTGGCCAAATGTGCACTTACAAAATCCCCTGCTTTGCAAGTAAAGCCTACCAAAAGTTGTAGTTTATTTTCATGTTCCTAGGTGTGGAGTCTGCATTATCATTAAAATAGCACTGCCTTAACTTTGTATGCAAGTCTTTCGTTCGGACCCCTTTCGGATCTTCACTCCATCGCACGTACATTGAACTCGGTCGTCCAGAACAAAAAGTCAATTCTCTCCGCGGCTAGCCTGGATGCGATCCGCACCACTTTCCTCGGTCATCAGTTTCCTTGCTTGTGAACATCTTCCGCTCCCTCACCTGCTTCCCAACCGATCTGAATGTTTTTTTGGAGATTCCTGGACCACACCAGCCCACAGGGTGCAAGACTGCTGGAACTCCTGTCTCCCACCATGGGATGCCGCCCGCCGCCAAGCATCTTCAAGGCCTTTGCTTGTAAGCAGCCTTGGGTATCCCCGGCCTTCTTGAGCAATTTCTCACAGGCGCTTTCGCTCCCAGCGCCTCATCTCTTTAAGTCTGAAGGGGGGTGTGCATGCTTTGTCTTGTGTGGGCAAGAGGTGCTAAGAGAGAACTTTGGCGGCACGTTGCCTATTTTGCAGGCCTATATAGAATTGTCCACACAAAAGACAAATCATGCTTATAGCATCTTATAGCACTGAGTGCCATCCCGTGCTGTATAGGAGGCTTTGATGGAACATATGAAGGGCGGCAAGGGTTTGACTTGACAAACCCAAGTTCATTGCAGTCCCTCTGTTTCATTCCGTTTCAGCTCCAACATTTAATAGTTGATCAACCGAAATGGCAGTAGATGACTGTGGTTCACAGGGGCCTCTGATGGAGACTCTCATCGAAACCTACAATATATTCGGTTCTTGAACTCCGAAATCCGAAATTTGGCTTCCCCAAACGACACCAGCCACGATCCAGGACTTCGGGGCTCCCGATCCACGTGCCAAGGCGCAGGAGAAGCCGTTGGGGAACAGGAAGTTGGCGACCTCTCAGGCCATGGAGGCCATGACGACTTGAACGCCCGAACGGGCACGCGTGTCGAGTCCTCCGACAGATCTTCCAATGAAACAGGAAATCTCAATACGGGCCATTGAATCGACTACTTTTATGCTGAGCTGAATGAAGCTTTGCATTGGAAGTTGCAAACTAATAACTACTTATAATATATTCCTATTGTTGTTCATATTCATTATTTTGATCACACCCGGTGGATTCTTAACTTCCTCAACATAAGACTACTATCGGCTACTTCTGAACGGCGCCCTTCGGCCATCTTCCGCTGGCCTGGCAAACGTCGTCCGGGCCGGACCTGCGACCGGGCTCACCAAAGCCGCACTGAGAAATGAAGTCGAATGAGTCTAACGCAGCATGGGTTATCCCATGTTTCTATTTGTTGGTGGAAGTCCCTGTTTGGAGCCTTTAAATCCCAGACCTGTGGACGGTGTAACCACCATGGTGCCCTTGTCATGACAACATAGAGACAGGAAGGGCGTCTTTCTTAGCTTTTGCCATTGGACCGGTAGAAAGGTGGCACCCAATGATGTCTGACCTCGGAAGTCATAGAGGGGTCAGTGCCAGGTACAGTACCATTATATGATTCCTTTGGGTTGCACACACATCTCCCCATCCCATCTAGCAAGGCCCTCAAAGGCTGGTAGCCCCTGCTTTGGCGCACCTGCACTCACTGCAAAGCTGCTCCAGAACCTGCTGGCTGAGTCCAGCGACTGAAATCATCTTCTGCGGCGATGCCTGGACCGGCGACGGCGACGGCGACTACGATGAGGTTGATGCGAAACCATCTCGGGGCCCCAAGTCGTCGCACCATGTCAGCACCCCCTGTAGAAAAACCACCCTCTGACGAAGGGTGCTCATCAGCCCAACCCAAGGGAAAAACAAAAGAACAGCCGCGAATGGTCTTTTAAGCCATCGGTGTCATCTCAAAATCTTCGTGACAGCAAAATCTGCCTTGCACCATGAATCTGAGAGAATTTGCAAAATTGTTGAGCCAGGTTGTAGGCCCAAGCGGCAACACCCTGTCACCTCCAAACTCCGCGGTTGAAAAACGGCCCAAAAGCACCGCACCATGCTACCAGCACACGCTGGCAGGCACTTAGAAGGTCATCCAGCAACTCATCCCGTGCCTTTTCACTATTCGCAATTCAGTAACTCATTTGTAGCAATTATCACCCAACCGATCCATGTAAGTAAATATGACCTACATTCATCACCAAAAAACTACCGAATGACCAAATGTAGGCTTGCTTGTTTGGGACATTTAGTGTCATTCCGTTGGTGTGCCCAAAAAGAACCGGGCCAAACCCGAACCCGCCTCGGCAGCTTCCTGCATGGCTTCGCCCCGGAACTTCACCAAGCGCAGCCCGGTCTCGAAGTCCATGACGCCCGCCACGGTCCTCGGAACAGCCCTGAAGAACCAACGCTGAACGTATTTAGATCCCAACAAATGTCATGTATTTTTGTGGACGTTCCCGTTCCCGGGATGTTTTACATGTTTGACTCGACTGTTGGTGTGCTGTTGGAGCTAACTCTACAAACTGAAAATGTTTAAATAATATAAAACAATAACACAACATAAACCTGTTTGTTCCCGAAGGAGTTTCTGAGTAAGTGTGGATTCCTGGATGCCCCTATGCCGAGATTCGTGGGGATGTTTTCCTGAACATAAGGAAGGATTGGATTCCGCACACCCCTGATGGTGTTTTTGTTCCAAACATTCAAGGATTGTGATATATGATTATGATGATACTCTAAGTTCCCCAAGTAGAGACAAATCGTGGAGATCAGATTCGTCAAGCGTGAAGGACCACATGTGCCTGTTCAACCATATGTACCATGCGCCGACCGTCGACCGTGGACTCACCCTCTTCCCCGTGACTCGGCCGGCTCGGGTCGACGTCGAGTGGCAGTGCCGTGTACTCCCCCAAGGACAGACCCGCCACTGCTTGAAACTGCTCGGCCACTTTGGGGTTCTCCTGGCCGGCGTCATTGGCGAAGAGATCACCCCAGTAAATCCATTTAAGTTGTCCAGTCACCCTCTTGTCTTCGTTAGCCAAAGGGTATCGGGTATCAAGATGTATCAAGTATCAAGTGCTTAGTATTGGTGCAACTTGGGATGGTTCCGGCTTGTTGGGAACTGCACCAAAGTAAGGACTGGTGAGAAAAGGTCAAAGACCTCGGCAAACAGCCTACGTAGTCCTATATAAGTCGTCGTGCGAAACCCGCTGTCACTGAAGTGGCAACCCATCTGGCTCAGCCAGCCCTGTGTCCAATGCAAAGGACATGTTCATGTATTTTCCCTCCAGTAAAACAACAGAGTACACGCCATGGTCAGGATGTTTACTCAACGACCATGTCGACCATGACACTGACCATGACCACCATGTTCCACCTGGTGGGCGGTCCTCTCTACCGGAAAAGCTTCACACGAAAAAAGAAAAAAAGGTCATCTGACCGCAGGTCTTGACCTCACACGGCTCCTTCTTGAGCAGCTCGAAGGCTGCCAAGCCGCCAATGTACATGGCTGGCTGACAGTGCTTGGTCCTAGCTCCGCCCCCGGGGGCAGAACGGCGTCGAGACGTGGAGCGTCACCACCAGGGTCACCAAACAGGTGCATGTATAGAAGACCTAGAAGCGGTAAGCCACAGCCACGAGTTCAGAAGTTCAGAAGAACTCCACGCTGTGCCAGTTCTGTTGGAGCAAATGTTTGGTGGGCGTTATCTGATTCCCCCTTTACATGGAGAGCCCCATGTTGCACCCACCAATCCCAACCATTCGCATCAACATTGCCAAATCCACTCTGTGAGGCTTTTATCTATTGACCCCGGGTGTCCCAAAGGAAGTACTTCAGTACTTTCCGTCGCAAGAATCGATGTTGAAACCCTCGTCGTTCCAAGGTGCTGCTCCAAAGTCTCTTCTGGGCCCTCCAGGCACAGCTTCAAAATGTCATAGCCTTGGGGCACTTTGTTCGGCTGAAAAGCGGCCAAGTCCGGGACCAAGAACACCAGAACACCAATACGGACCAATGCGTGTCACCGCGCCGTGTCGACCAGTCGACCGCCGCCGTGATCGAATCCGCTCTCAGGTCTCGAAGCTCCTGTTGCGCTAAGGAGGGCGGCTTGGGAAAAAAACAATTCCATCATCTGCATGACACATGGTCAGCACCGCGCACAAGTGTTCTTCCACCAGCACGATCTATGTCAGGTGAATGAAGCTTGTGATAGCTTGTGCTATCTTTGAGAAGCAAGGGCAACTAGAACCCAAGGAGGCCAAGGAGGCCAGTTTCCCCGCAATAGGCAGGATGTGGTGAACGGTTAACAGGTCTTTTTTTGGGGGGTCGCCGGGGTCGCCTTGAATGCGCACACGAGAAGAACGGGGCGAGGTGGGGGCTGCGGGGAATGCGCCGAGTTGAAAAGGAGAGGTCACCAAACCTGAAAACAAACATGCCAACAAAGGGTGAAGGACCCTACAGACTATCCGATGGGTACCCCAGTATCGTATAAGGTCACTTAACCTCTCTTGGTACCCATTCAACACCTATACCTCGTCTTTCATGGTCTTTCCACATTCATATAAGCGCTAAAAGAAAGCAATCTGGTCTTTGGGAATGGAGACACGAGATCGTGCCAAGATTGTTTGATGCCAAGTCACCTAAGATCGTGTGCGCAGTGCTTAGCATCTCCTGCACGCTTGGGAGGTCCTTCACCTCCGAGAGCATTTTCACCTACAGTAAGTGATTCGGATTGATTCGTGGAAAAGGAGTGTACCCACCCAAATATGGGAATTCTCAGAGTACACAAAGCATTGAATAACTACATGCCCTTGCCCTCATTGTTCCCATCGAAGGAGGCTGAATGTAAACTATAGATCATGGAGGGAGTTGTTGGACACAATGCCACAATGCATTTTGTTTGCACAATGCAAGTGTTTTGTTGATGTAGTTTTCCCCCGCTATTGTGAGCGTTGCCTTCGCCTTCGACTAGGAAGTTCTCATAATGGGCTGCCGTCCAGAAAACACAAATAGACTATATATATAATATAATATGGTACAGTAATGTACAGTATATGTATAAAATATAGCTTTAGTATATACTTATATACTAGATATATATACCCCACATGTATCAACAACACAGCCTGCAACGCTTCATGGTTGTCCGAGAAAAAAACGAAGAACATTCATCGAAGAGTCCCATGACTCCGCTTTCTCTCAGGGGCACTGTCAAAATGCCCAACCATCTTCTACAGTGTACATTGGCCCCAAAACAGAGAGAAACGATTCTTTAATACTTCTTGAAACGGATTGTGCTGTTCTATCTATTCGGGGGTCTAATTCGGATTCATCTTCTAAATGTGGATCCATAGGAATTAATCCATATAGATCCATATAGAATCCATAGGGATGATCGTCGTTTGCTTGCCAAGTCACATACTGAGAGCCCTGACCCGGAAACAGCAGCGCCGCGAGCGGCTGGGTGCTGCCGTTGGCACCCGCTGCCGGGGGGGCTTCGAGCCTGTGGAAGTGGGTGGTATCTAGAAACCTTGTATTTTTGGTGATTATTCCAGCTGTCTCAGCATGTCTCATCTAATCATTTACCATGCTTCCTGGCTGCAAGCGTTTAGTTGCACATGTTTGCAGCTTCAAAATCATCGACCCTACCCTACATCATCAGTCGGCCCGCAGCTTTTCTCAACATACACACCTGCCCATGCCCATTAATGAGGCTTGTGGGATACTGACTCTGTGAGGTCACTACTTCTTGCACCAAGAATCTGTGGCTTCAGCGGCTTCGACAGGTCCTGCAAAGCAGCGGCCGCGGCCATCTTCACACCCTGGAAGTGTTGCAATGCCTTCCTCGGCCGGCGAAAAAAATCAAAGCTCCTGTCGTATATGACACGCAAGTTTTCCGCGGGGCGTCGAAGACAATAATAGGGAGTGTCACAGGTGCGGCTTCCTCGAAGTGAACAACTCAAGTCTAATTGCTCGTTGAACCTGCTGGTGGACAAAAATTAAAAGTTACATCCTTCCGCAAAATTCTCTGAGTTCACCAGCCAGAATCAGTGGCAACTGCATTCCAAAATTGTCTGGGTTAAACTTGGCCAAGGCTGGTTTCATCTCCCAAGCTTGGCATTCCCAAGCGGAATTGCCATGAAATGCCCATCCTGAGACACGAAACATTCCACCTGGCCCAGTGGCTGTGCAGCTGAGGCCACGAAGGGGTCTGGATCGCTGAGGCACATCTCCACCTGGGGTCATTGGCAGCTGACTAGGTGACTAGGTGGTCATCGAGGTCAAGACCTCGATCCCGGTGGCATTGGCCCCCGACCGGGGGGGCGGTGGTGGCATCACAGGTGTTCACTCACCGAACCGGGGTGTGGCCCACACGTGGCTCACTTGTGTGTCGTCGTCTGGATCTATGCTTAGTCCTCTTGAGGTTGCGCTACACATCATGCGGGAATTCTCCCAAACTTGATTCATAGTATATATTTTATCTAAGCTATAGCTATCCAAGCTTACGGAACCTCCTTCTTGGAGCCCTGCCCCAAGAACTCCACCCCAGCTACAAAATCACCGAACAAGGATGTAGTGGCTCCCACCCAGCAAAGACCATCTAAAGTTGTATTGACAAATCCCCACACTCCAAACGTTTAAACATGTATTGGACACACTCTCTCTCTCTTTCTCTCTCTCTCTCTCGTTGTTTCTATTGGGGGTGGCCGCTGTTGCACACACCACGCGCGCCTCATCGTCAAAACATGCACCCCGCTCACCCATCTCTGTCAGCGCGTGGATCGCCGCCGCTCGGGTCTTGGCGTCCGCGTTGCCCGTCAAGCGGCAAACCTCGATCGTCGTCGGCGTCTGCTGGGATGAGGTGGTTGGCTGGCTGGCAGGTTGGTTGGTTGGTTGGTTGGTTTGAGTGGTTAGTTGGTTGGTTTGAGTGGTTGGTTGGTTGAGTGGTTGGTTGAGTGGTTGGTTAAAGGGGTATGCGACACTCAAGTGTGTCTTCGAGACCTCTGGGATCTCACTTTGGGGGTTGCCTAGCAGCCATGCATCCGCGTCCTCACCCACGTCATGCCCTGTACCCCAACCAAATTTCAGCAGCCATGCATCCGCGCCTCTGACGCGTACATCTGCCCAAGCTCCCCGCAGCCTGCCACCGCCTTGACCGCAGCACAGCGCACCTGGGAAGACTTGTCGTTGAAGAGTTTGCCTGGGCTATTGTGCGAGCATGGTCAGTGCCGGAAGTTCGAGGTCCATGATGTTGAACATCTGCCAGAATGTTGATCCACCTTTGGAAGCTTAGTTAAATGATTCTTCACCTATGGATAATAAAGAAGCTACATGACTCCTTTTTCCATATTTTTCCAGATAGCTGCAGGCTATGACAGCCGTCGGTGGCATGTCCTTTAAACCTATGCGCCCGCTCTCTGGGGTCTATGCCGGTGTAATTCTATAGGAAGCTAGGTTGCATAAAGGGTCCAGAAAGGCCTCCGCTTCGTCGCCCATGGCAGCGATGCTGTCCACGGCACTGGCCTGCAAGCAGCTGCTTGGTGGGTGACCACCGACCGTCCTTTGGGGGGAGGTGGGGGAAGAATCACGTCATTCTCAGAAGCCAATGCCTGTGGTGCAAAGCACAGTAAAACCGTAAAACCTACTATATATAGCTAGTTAATTAATCCAACGGCTATAGCTTAACAGTTAACATCCCTTGTGTTGACTGACCCAGCCGCACATTGAGGATGTTCTGGAACCTGTCTCCCACTCACGAGGATTTTTCCATGGTCTGTTTGGGCCTTCACCATGGGGCTTGGATCTCTCAGCAGTTCTGCGACTGCTGCCGCCTCAGGGCGTGCAAACTGGCCAAACCGGCCCACCACCCGAGGAAACAAACGGCAAGCGGTTGCTGTGGCCCCGTCCGCCGCGACTGAAAATGTGTAGGGTCGGGTCGATAGGCAACAGGAAATTGCACGCTTGCAGTTCGGTGAATGTCAATGGTACCAGCCCGTGAGGTATACTATGTATACAACTTATTTATACTTATTTACATCTTTGACCAACTGATTCATGATTATTCCATTATCCTCAGGACTCTGTGGCTCAAATGCCGAGTGGTGGTTTAAGCTAGTATAGAGCTTGGCCAATATGCAGTCTTGGGGACGGGGACGGGCTCGAGTGATGAGGGAGCAGGGTATGAGTATGTATGAATGCAACCCACCGTTTTGCCCATCTGACGGCAATGTGGACATAATTCATACATTCAGCCTGCTGAAGCATGGGGTGAAAACAGCCTCATTCAATGACCAATGTTGTATAATTAACGGTTGATTGAGAAAGTTCCCCTTTTTTGAGATGCATAAAAATACTTGACCATCCCTGGTAGGGGACTTTGTTGATCAGCATGGTTTCAATTCCTTTCTGACTTGAAGCCTGCAGCTGTTAATTTATTCTGCCATGTACTAAAATGGCAGCTCCCCTATGCCTACTGCAGAAAAAATGTTTTCTCAGTTAAGAGTCCATTGTTGGCGCGCACACACACACACACACACACTGCAAGACCAGGTTTCACAGATCTCCCTCACACATCAACTGGATCCCACTGGCTGAGTCCCTGCTGGTAGACGTGTTTGATCTTATTCGTTCATTCATGTGTCATAGCTCTACTTGAACATCTTCCTGGATAGCCGTTGTTCTGGCAGGGGCCTGCGCCTTTCTTGTTGACTTTCCCCGTTCCTGCAGAAGAAGATTGGTCTCGGCAAGCACGAATGATCTCAGTTAGCACCCACAATCCAAGATGCGGTAGACGAGGACGAGGTGGAGTTCATGGTCCCCAAGGCACGGCAAGCGGCTGACACCACTGAAGGATTGGGATCCTTCCTCGGTGTGGCTGAAGGGCCGATGTCACAGCTCAGCCATCTGTTGTGTGGGGCCGATGTCACCTGCTAGCATTCTACAAGCTACACAAATCTACACAATGCAGTCTCACCACACGTGCACGTTTTTGCATCTCTTCACCACCAACAAAGCCTGAAGCTGCCTTCCCCTACAAACAAACACAGCTCTCCAACACACAAAAAAACACAAACCGCACCTACAATAAAAGATGCGCGTGGAACCCCGTCATATCCAACATTTTCCAACCCATTTTAGCCTTGCCTCCACATTGCGCACAACACGCCCTCAGAACGGAAGATTCCAAACCTCTGCTTTGTGCAGGAAACCGCAAACATGCAAAACTGACTGTTATATAAAGGCAAATTCACTTGCTTGGGGTAGTTCGCTTGCTCGCAATTTGCGTGCATGTTGGTGGTTTCAACCTCGGGCCGAAAACTAATCAAACATTGTTTGGGAACATCCTCTCCCTTCATCGATTAGCTTACCACCCAACTTCAAAGCATTTGGTTGTGGGCCAGCGGAATGAGGAGGTTATAAAGGTGGCATGAACAAATCACAAAGGAACTGGAGTCTTCAGCATCTAACAAAAACGCTCAGAACCCTCCTCTTCGTCATCTCCTTGACCCGGCCATACCCGGCCGAGGATCAATAGGTCAACAAATTGCGATTCCAGGCGATCAGTCTCCGCCCCGATCTGTGTGAGGGCATGGATGGCACAGGACTTCCTCGATAAAGGAGTGGCCATGGCACAGAACTGAAATGAATGCGTGTATATGTATCAGCTTCTCTTTTCATTCTCTCTCTGACTACATATATTATATATATATACTATTATATATATTGTTATGTATATATATTGCGAACGGATGGAAAGTGTGCCCTGGCCCCGTTCTAGCCCTTAGTTCAACATGAAGCACGCGCGCTAAAGCTCCTTTTTGCCTGATTGGGCACTTGAGCCAAAAGTATATGGCATGTACCTGTATAGCAACTATACTGGGACCTCATCCCTATTGACACCCCCCACATCCGTGCTTCGACGGGGAAGGGAGATGAGTGGATGTAAAAACCGGAGAACGAATCATGTTCTCAAAAGTGCATTGGAGGTCAACCAGTATGTCCTATTAAACTGAATTAGCAAACGATCTTGCATTCGCTTGAAAGTTGGATCAAACAGGTAATGGAGCTACAAACGGAAGACGTGCATCCACCCGTGGTATCATGCGATCACCAACGGTGTGGAACACAATCCTGTCTCACTCCCATGATGCCAAAACGGTCATCATGAATTACCCAAGATCCCTCAGTACTTGAAGTACCGGAAGTAGTATGTCGGCGTGACTCCAATGCTCAACCATTCGTGAGTTGTCGCATGTAGTCAGCTCCGACAAAGCCAATGTAGTCCTTGATGAGCTCAACTTTCCTTGGGTTTCCCCTTCGGATCTGCTCCTCAAAGAACTTCAATTTCTGCGCTTGAACATCGGATACCTCTATGCCATAGTAGCGGCATGCGACGAGGATCTCCTTTGTGACATTCTTCCGCTCTGATTTGATGGCGGGGCTAATGTCGATGAATTTGTATGGAGCGGCGCTTTCGTCATCTGGTTTCTGGTAGTAACTATACCGGCTCGCTCCAAAGGTCTTCCTGATCAAGCGTCTGATGAAATTTGAGATGAATGCCAGTTTCTCGATGATCTCTTCCTGGGTCTCAGATCTTCGAGCCTTTGGATCACTCATGTTACGCCGAGTGCTGCCGACCTCTCTGAGGTACTTGTGGCTAAGCCCACAGCGGATTGCAGTGATCATCATCGGGTGAATAACGTGGGCGTGGAATTCATAGATCTGCCACGCTTCTGTTGCATACGTGTCGTTGGTCCATTTGCTCATGCCTACGACCTCGGCTCTCTGAAGGCGTCTTGGAAACCCAGTATCCGGATCATTCGGTACTATTGGCCATCTATTGTATGGAGTATCATGCCGCTGTCCATCGTCGAACTTTCGCAGTACGTCTTCACGACTCTCAAAGCAATTGATGTCGAACGTTGCGTTGGCCAAACTCTTGATCAACTTCATCAACCTCAGATCAAATTGCTGAGTGACTGCAAAGTTGTGGTCGATGGGAATCGCAGCTTCTTGCGGTAATTCGTCAATCGCGAAGGGGAAAGGCTGTGGAAGTTCATTCCCGTATCCATCTTGAGGGACCTCCCGATATTCGGGTTCGCCTTCAGCTTCGTCCGGTCGTTCCTTCAAAATGATAGGAACTTCCTCGTCTTCCTCTCCTTCGGATTCCTCGACGTCAATGACTTCTTCGGCTGTCTTGCGTGCATTCTTGATGACTTCATCGATGTTTGCACCCGCAGCATAAGTTGCCTCACCGGAAGAACTGGCTGGAGCATCTCTCGGAGGTGATCGTTGATTGCGGTCCCTTGTCTCCTTGGGTACCACATGCGTGAGCTTCCCATTCGCGATCAAAACCGCTACGCAGTGCGGACATATCGTCAATCGCACATCGACTTCGCCAAGACAGTTAGGACACGGTCTTGAGTCATAGTCTTTCATTGCTCGGCGGTACACGATCTCCTCAAAGATTTCCTGCCACTCGGTGCTATCATACTCTGGATAGACACCGCTCTCCTCGATCATGCCCAACAGCTTTGAGATTTTGGCGTCGTCCTCGGAGTAGGTATCGTCCTGAACCTCAATCGCTAAACTCTCAAGCTTTTGATAGCGTGGAGTCATGATCGGGTTTCCGTATTTGGACTCCAGAACAAGGTAGCTTCCAGGGTCGGGTTCTCTATTGAGTAACCTGATCCATTCGATCTCCTCAGGCTGTCCGGGTTCCGCATTGTCGCACTGCAACCATGCCCCTTTAACCTCATCGAAGGGAACAACGTCCTCAACCAATAGAGATCCAGTCGCTGAGATGAGAAGTCCGTACTCCTGCAGCTTCCACACCGGAATGTAGAGAACCACCGGGCGATCACTCAATGCGACCTTACGACCCAGCCAAGGTTTTCCCTTGTAGCCCTGTTCCCAGGCCCATGGCGGAAAACATGTGAAGTGGATAGAATCCCTTCCCGATGAACCGAGACCTCCTGGCACTAGCCCCCGTCGCATGATTGAAGCCAGCGCTCCAAGATTGGTAGCGTGAAATGCAGTCACCATGGATAGGGCCATGTCGTTGGTCATTCTCGATCCAATGTGGTCGATGTTGATGGTAACGTCATAACCTCCGCCGTCTGATGAGTGTGCTGAGGTTGCTCTTACGGCCACGGGAAAGCACCATCCATCGCTATGGTGTAGTCTCCCTTTGGAGATTCCCATGCCCTTGAGCTCGTCAATCCATTCCTTCTCCATCGGGTCATCAGGATCATTGAGTTCATCAGGGTGAACGCGGACCGCCAACATTTGGAACCTGATCCTCTTGGTTATGCGGAAACACTCATAGTTCTGGTCGAGGTACTTCTCCAAACGCGCCTTCTTGGTCACGATGTCTATATTGCCATAGTGATAACCGTCTTCCCAAACTGCGTTATCACCTAACAGGTCTTCCCATGACACCCATGCGCCTTCGTCGCATTTGATTGGTGTGAGTCTTCCTCCTGTCCTGAACTGGCGTCCAATTCGATGCCTCAACTTCGCTCCCAATCGACGACTCAGGGCCTGGCTCGCTTGGCTGTATTCTGGTACTCGACAGTCCGGAGTCGGATACTTGTGGTTGCCGTAGTCGGAGTTCTGTGCAGCGAAAGTGACTCCGTTGATCGGTACTAGCTCAACTTTCCCGACCATTGTCATGGGGTCGATCGGCTTGTATCCCTTCTCCCTCCGTGTCGGTAGGGGATAGAATTGATGACAAGCCCTTGGTTTGAGGGAACTGGAGTGCACAAATGCCTTCTCTACAAATTCGTATACCACCCTCATATCCCTAGGGCCTACTTCCGCAAGCTTCCGCCCATTGTAGGAATGTGTCCCTCCTTCGACTCCATCGGCACTTTCAATCAATGTGAATCCGTCATGGTCGAACATTGTCACGACTCTTGCTTTCAACATTTCTTTTCGTCTGAACTCGCTGTCGACCTTCCTATCTGGAGTAGGCGATGCTCTCTGCTTCTTCTTCTTAGGCTCCTCGGTTGGATGTCCGGATGGTACATCGTCGGGTGCAACCTCTCCCTTCACTCTCTTCTTCCAATCACTCAACACTGAGGTGACTGTGGGTGAAGATGAAGGGATCTTCTCGCAATTGAGAGTCGTGTGTCCCGACTTCATGCAGTGGATGCAGAACTCTGCTTGCCCGATCTTCTTCTCGAATTCGTCGATGGCTTGCAGTATTGATGTCTTCGGATCGGACATGTCAACGTCTTGCTCCTCCTTCTCCTGTTCACCTTCAGTCTCCATATCGACACCTTCGGCCTCGGGCTGGTCAGTGGCTTCTGCTCCCTGTTCTGGTTCTTTCCCAATTTCGAAGAAGTGGTCGATGTCGAATTCAGGAGGCGGCATGGTCCTCATGCGAACGAGAATCAGTGCCACGTTTGCCGCCTCATCAGACTGCGGGTCCAATGTCCTGATCATCGATCGTTTTCGGTTCTCATACGTTGTCCTGTCGTACAGTGATGCAGTGACGCGCTTGATGGATTCCTCTAATCCCGTCCTCAAAGCCTCAATGTCACCCCATCCCAAGAACAGGTGTTTGAAGAGTTGAGCAATTTCTAACATGCCCAGCAGCGCTTCCACCATATCACCTACCCGTTCCTCCGTGGGATCATCTCCGAACATCGTGCGGAATATATCGGGCTCCAATATGGTCTTGAGGTATTTGGTGTAGCACACGTTTCCAAGGTCATAGGATCCTTGGTAGTACTTGGCGCTGCCGATTATCTGCTTCTCCACATGGATACTGGGCCCTCTTCTCGTTTTGAAGAAGTTCTCCGTCATTGTCGATGATAACCTGATCCCCCCGAAGAACGAGATCTCCTTCTGGAAACCTGGGTTCCCGTTAAAGATGATCATCGCTTCGTGTAAGAACTTCATCATGTCTACGTGCGGGTTCATCTCGGAGATCATGACGGTGGGAGAAGATACCGTTTGCCCCGTGCCGAAGTTGTGAAGCAATCGAGCACATGCATGAAATCGCTTCTGGACGTAGTCTTCTGCGGACATCCCACGGCATCTATTTGCTGCTCCGTTGATGCATTCTGCATAGCAATCGTCTTTCAAATCGGAGTCTATGGGATTGCAGACCAAACAGTAATCGCAGCAAATCTCCTCACCCTCCTTGAAGTCATCAATGACGTACCATCTCTGAGTCCTCGAGTATATTGGTTCTGGCTGAAGGACTCCCCAGTACTCATCCATCCATGGCATCTTATTCTCTCTCCTTACCTTCTCCCTCTTCCTCCGCTCAGACTCGTTCTCACCTGAAGCTCCCGCAGTGGACTGATATGCATGGCTTCCTCTTACGGAGTCTCCGAACAAGTACTGATACAACCTCTCTTTGTCCTGCAACACGTGTTCCAAGTTGGGATCATGGAGGTTATTCGCTTCGGTCAAGGGATCCGGTGCCATAAAACAAGAAGCGAGCATCTTCTCTCTGAACAAATACTTTTCCATGACAGCGTGGACCAAAGAGGTTCCAGACTTCATAGAGTAGGGGTGACCGCCTCCGGCGACCGAAATGGCTCGCCAGAATCTGTCCGACGTCGTGGACATCATGCCATTCAGCGACAGCTCG